AAGACAAGCTCTGTGTAGAAATTAGATGCCAACTTTCTCAGTTTGTTAAATTAACTACTGGAAAATATAATTTGGAGACTGAGAATTGGGTGCAGGCTGAAGAGGAGTTCTCATGCTTCCAGGGGATTTGTCTGTTCAGTAAGCACCTGGCTGTCATGCCTGAAGTTTTGACTTGAAGAATATCACTCATTTTTAATGTATTGCAAATTAACATCAAGTTTTCATTAATTTGGTTATTGAGAAACAATGAAACACTTAGGAGAAAGGACTTTTGTCCACCTTTCCCAGGCTTAGCTTCAGCCTAGCTCCCCTGTCCTGCCCCGTGCCCTGAGAGTCAGCAGAGCAAAGGCAGCTTATCTGGACTAATGTTGGGATTAGCGTGCAGTGAACAGCAGGTTCAAAATGCTTGATTCTCCTCATTGGTTATGGAGGGGGCTTTAGCACATGACCTGATTGTAGGCACATGTGATGTGCATTTCCTGGTAGTTCAAATAACTGGAGTTATGGATTAGTGGACTCCTTTACGTGAAAACAATGCCTTTCTTCTGACACACTTGCTGATTTAGCCAAAAAATAATGGTCTGTATAGAAGAATTCTGGATGAGGTTCCCTGGTAATAGCTACAAGGTTTGGACAACTGTAGCTCCTTCTGGCATTAACATCTATAAAAGCCTCCTCCAGCAGCTGATCTCACTAATGAACCATAGCCCCAGGATGTGACTGTTGCCTCTGTCACTAGAAAATAGGAAGAACCAGCACTATTGCAGCCAGAGCTGGCTTGCAAAATAATTTCATAGAATTTAAAGCATACACGTGTATCATATGCCCTGGCTTCTTTCAAGTCACACTAAAAAATTTCACTTGAAATGAAGAAGGACTCCTGCTAGCTAGGCCACCCCATTCTTTTGCTCAATGTGAGCTTAGGAGGCATAGCACCTGTTCAAATGGAACCAGGACTTTCTTGCAGGGATTGATTCCTTTTTTTGAGAAATACCTTCTTTCCTAAGCTTGATTACAGTGGTGATTTGGGACATCATAATAAAAAACTGAATTTCATATTTGTTCTGGCAGGTTGCAGTCAAGTGAGTGGTCCTCTTCCATAAGTGCCAGCATTGATATGACTCCAGGTCATGAGCAGTCCTTACTGATCAACTCCATGGATTCCAGCAGAGTAAGAGTTTAACATTCACAGCTGTCAATTATGTGAGCCCCAGCTGATTCAAGAAACTGTGATCCTATAGCACTTAAGTTCCTGTGCAGAGACACATAAATGAGTTGGGGACTGTAGTTTTTCTGCTCTCACCATGCTGGAAACAAAATTGGGTGGGGCTTGTTCATGGGCAGCCTGCAGAGAGCAGGGGGAGGGGAGCATTTAATGATGGTTGCCCTAGTGTTAGTATCTGACAGCGGAGCAAGTTGGGGAAAGTTTATGCTCATTAGCTTAAACAAACTTACCTCCTTGGTCTGGAGAGCTCTGGATGAAGGCAGCTGGGGCCACAGCCATTCCTTGTAGTGACTGTTCTCTCTTTACTCTTCCAGACCCGGAGTACTCCTGGACTGCGACGCCTGTTACGCTCTCTCTTCCGCTCCCGGGCCCACTTGCCCCTGCTAGTGGCCACGTATCTGCTTGCTCTCCATGTCCTGCTCTTCCTGTGCTTCACAGGCCACCTGTGAGCAGGAGTGACAGCTTTTCCTCCAGCCTCAGCCCTGTGCATGCTGAAGGCCTGCACATTCTCACAGAAGGGCACCACTTGCCCCAGCTGCAGCCTTTCCCAAACCAGCACTGAAGCAGCAGCTGCAGCCAGCACCTGCTGTCAGTGCTGGTGCTGGGGAGCTGCTCCCAGGAGATCTGCCCTCCCTCAGTGTTTCTACATGCGTGGTTCGTTTTCTGAGCCACAGTTGTGCTGCAAGCCTCAAGGACAGCATCTGTTCCTGTACCTGGAAGCAATTTAGATAGAATAGTGCTGCAGTAGGAATACGAAAAATACTCTTGAGTTGCTGCAGTACTTCAGCACTTCTACAACTGCACAATATTCCCCCTCTTAGGCTGAATCCATGAGTGGGGTTGGGGGAACACTGTAGCTGGATGTGAAAGAATTGTCTTCCCTTTCTTCCTTCTACCCCTTAGATTTGCTCCATGGTTCAGAGCTGTCTGAAATGCATATCCTAAGGAGGTTATGGTCACTTTAAGGAATGTGAATTTTAAAGCCATGCTTCCCGCTCAGTTGCGTCTCCTGTTGAAGAAGGGCCAAAATTAGTATATCTAGCCTGGTGAGCATTCCATTTAAAATCATTCATATGTCTGCCCTGACAAGCCTGTAAAATAATGCCAGTAATTTAGTTATTTAAAAGGAATAGGAAATATGAAACCTTTTAACTCGTAAGTTTAAAATCCTCCTATTTATAGCATTTATGCACCTCTTATGATGGAAGGTGCTGCCTTACCTCTAGTAGAGCAGCCCTGTTCCTGCCTTCTCATCCACTAAATACTCATCATGAGATGTACAGGCTGTTGAAGGGGTCCATAATGTGCTGTGTGGGCCCAAAGCAAAGGCAGAAACTCCAGAAATAAACTCTCTCCCTTGTGCTGAAGAAGGAGCCAGAGTTCTAAAACCTTCTGGTTTTAGATCCCTCTGGTGTAGAAAGCTGGTGCTGGTGTTTGGGCATGTTTGAACCCAAATCAAATGATGGAAATGAACTGAATCTTTTATGATATATGGAAATATGGATATATTTCCATATGTTTTCTAAAAACCTCCTGAATTTGAGACTGTCATCTTCCAAAAGGAGAATGTTGAATGCAAAGGAAGTTCAGTCCTATTCATTGTCAGATCCTGAGTGGTTGTTTCATTCGGAGTACTGGCCAGGAGAATCCTATCTGCCTCTTAGTAGAGCATTAACAATCACATTTTTCCCATGGGAAAGAGGTAGTTCTTTTGATATTGCTGGTAAACTAAGCTGCTGTAGCCAGTGCAGAAAGCCTGTTTGAGGGTAGATTGATTTCACTGGTAGCTAAACTAGCTGGATCTCTGGCAGGTCCAGATCACTGGCTCTAGGTATCCTCTTGTAGGCTGTCTGTGATTATCAGTGTGAACTTCCTCTAACTATGTCAAATTCAGTGACCAAATAGTTTGTCTATATCTTCCTGGGGTATGAGCTCCTGTGTGTATAATAAAGTTTATTTTTCAGATGGAGTTTGTGTTACATTGCCACGTATCTGTGCAAGTGGAGAGTGTAGTGCTGCTGTAGCAGCACACCTTGTGTGGGACACGGTGGGACTGCAGGTCTCCTTTGTGTACACTGCCTTGTGGGATGGTTGCAGAAGCTGTTTCTTTATACAGTGTGAATGCCTAGATGATGACCTTTTTTCCCTATCTCACCTCTTGCTCAGCCTTTTTCAGCTGACAGGATAAGGAAATAGCACTTGAATAGGCAATGTCTCATGTCAGGGGTGTGTGGAACTAATGATTTTAAGAACCCTTCCACCCCAGACCATCACATGCATCGTGAAAGTGATTCCAGTAAAACAATACCTTCTTGAGTTTGTTTTTCCACATTTGCCTGAACACTGCACCTTGTTAGAGTTGTGTAACACCAGGACAGATAAGAAGTTGGCAACAGTGCGCTAGAACGTGCTGGTCATTCAGATGGGACAGGTCAACTGTCCCAGCTTTCTGTAGCCAAAACCAGGTACCCTTTTTCATAGTTACTTCTACAGTCCCCCACCACCGTTGGAACAAAAGCCAGCGTTGGGGTGTTGTAAGACGGTAGATAATAACAGAAGCAAGGGTTATAAGCAAAGTATGTTTCCTTAAAGCCCATGCAATTTTTTTCCTGAACTGAAGAAAGGCATGATTCTGATGCCTCAGATACATTTAAATGTTTTATACCTACAGATAGAACAGGTATAGCTTAGATTAAATACAGGAATAAAATCTCAAAAGGATCTCCTGGTCTGCTAAAGCATACTCTGACTGAACAGCTCTGTGCTTTGGCCTGATGAAAGATGGGGCCTTTCAGCTGATGGTTCCTGTCTCAAACATTTCAGCATTTTGTTTCTTCTCCAATGGAGCTGTCCTGCCTTGATTTTTGATTTATCTTCAATAAAGGCTGAGAAGGAAAGTCAGCCAATGAAGCTGTGCACCGTCATCCTCAGACAGTCACTCCAATTCAGCACCACCACTGAGGCTGGGACAGGTCTGGTTCTGTGCCGGGAGGAAGGCAACATCAGGCCTAGGGAGGAGAGGATACAAGTTACTGCATGGAGCTCTAAGGGGAGCCCTCCTGATGCTCTCAGCTCCCTTTACAGACAGGTGTGAGGATCTGGGAATGGCAGACAAAGCTCATGATGAGGTGCAAGGAACCTGCGCAGGTGCCCTCACCGAGGGCGGGTCAACCCACCCCTGATAATGAGAGCTGCGTTAAAGCCAGTGCTGAGGAGAAACAACAGAGAGTCCAATCACGGGTAAGTTGCTCCTGAGCGCACTGAAAGCTCCCATGTGCTAGACTCTTTCCAGGAGTGTTTGCTGCCTCCCAGGAGCCCACGACACAATGTCACTGGACAACTGACTTCAGTTCAGTGCAGCCTTTGGACTGTGCCCACTTTCATGGGGGTACTGGTGATGTTACAACAAGAAGCCCAAGTTTGACCAAAGGAGTTTTCAAGGCCCTGGGCAGAATGGGAAAAGGTTCAGAAGCACAATTAATGTTCTCATCAATCCTCCAAGTAATAGGGAAAGATACTGAAAGTAAAAGGCATGCTCAAGACCTGGCTCCAGGATTTGTGCCTCCACCAGAATTTTTGGTTTTATACCCATGTGAAAGTCTTCTTTAAAACACAAGTGTGCTGGAACCTGATGGTCTCCATTGTGCTGATGGGGGAACTGTGCACTGCATCAGTGTCTCAGGGCAGAGGCAGCCTGCAGGGGAACTACAGCACTGGGGCTGGCTCTGGCAACTACGACTTCAGCAGAACTGGGGGCTGGGATGCAGGAAGTGAAAAGAGCTGAAGTTAAAACAGGAACTCAGAGCAGACACAGACCCTAAGCTGTCACTGGCAGCAGGTGCCTGAGCAAAAAGCAGCAAGTCTGCCAGCAGGAACTGGTGAGCCTTTAAAGGTAAGAAAACTTGAGGGGGTTTGGGGACTGGAAAGTGAGAAATTACTATAAAGAAAGTGTAGTTTTTGGTGGGCAAAGAGAACACTTTCCTGAACAAGCATGGTTAAGGGGACGATGCTTGACATTTGCTTCTTAGGCTATTGTCCTGTCATCATTGTGGTTCTTGTGTTTAAGGCTCTAAAGAACCACATTTCTAAATCTACTAGCACGACTGTGCTGTGTGGTAGCCTTGTATTTGTGCTGTAGTGGATGTTTTCCCAGGGGAAAATGGGATAAAAAAGAGCTGAGATGCAGCCCTGGCTGATATTTCTCATATGGACAGTGTCCAGAGTCTCGTGATGCAATTACAGCCTGTGGTTTGTCATGGCTCCCACAGTGCAAGGCAGGTGGCTTTGGAGAATGGGTGGTCAAGAACCATTTACAGCAGTATTTAAAATTGCTCATTCAAAGGTCATTCAACAATCTTATTTGAGCTCAAATCAGCTGTCCTCTGCTAGCTGGTTATTATTGCTGGTTTATGCTTTACAGAAATGAGCAACGAACTTTAAAACTCTTTGGCATGAGAGATGCCAATAAATGAGAGAGGAGAAAAGGAGAAGAAAGGTGATAGAAGGGGCTGTGTTGTCCACATGAGCCTTTCTACATCCCCTGCTTCTAATTGCAATTAACTGTATCCAGTTTGGCACCAGATTGCTCTCAGTGGGCAATGTCACGGACTGGCTGTGGTCCTGAGGCACCTGGAGAAGGCCTGAAACCAGGTTTTCACTGTGTATCTGCCTTAGCCCTTCATCTTCTCTCTTAGCTGACTACCTGGCCTTGGTTCAACAAAAGATAGAATCATCATTGCTGTGCTTATTTAGTTTCTGTTCTCTTCGCTCCCTGATCTTACAGTGCTGGTTCTCTGGAAAGGACAGCTCGGAACTGAGCAGTGCACTGCACTAAACCGGAAGGTTATACACTTAAGCAGCTTTTGATGTGGGACAGTTAATTACTTAGCATAAACAGAGAATTATTAATGATTCGGCGTAAACATTTTGCTTTGACAGAAGGCAACTGCCCCAAGGGCTCAGGGCTGTCTGAGGCTTCCACACAGCTGTGGGAGTGAGGGGTTACACAGCTGAGCAGCACGTGGTAAAAGCTGCTGTTAACTGAAGATCCAGCACACAGGAGCTCTCTTCCTTCCTGCTCATTTGGTCACAGTTTGGTGTGATGGAGAACAAGGCTCAGCTCAGTCTTTCCTGCACGTTCTCGTCCATCTTTCTCTCTGCCTCACGAAAAAGCTGCTTTGGGCAACACAGAGAACTTGCAGTTCCTCAACACTGCAGGCAGAAAAAGGGATGGGATAGGAAGGGATGGGGCTCTGATGAGGTTGATTGCTCTGGGGTGTAGAGGCAGCAAACTAATATTTTCTCTGTCTCTCATTTTGGAAAAACTCAGTTGTTTTGAGGGGGCTTTTTAATTATGGGGTTTTTTTTTTTTCCATGGTCACCTTGAAAATGAAATGCAGCAGTTCTAGATTTCACATTACTTTTAACTTCCTCTTCCTGGGCCCATCACTTCCTCCAGGCCTGCAGGAGCAGTTCCACTACAGTCTCAGCCAGTTTAGCCCTACATCTTCAGTGCTTTTAGCTCCATTTCCCATTTTCTCCATGTGACAGACATGAACTCCACACAGCACCAGCTCTGTCACACCACTGTCCAGCCTTCTCTGACCCTTCTCTAGGCTATGGGCAGGGATCAAAAGGTTGAAAAGCAGACAAGAGGCTTGAAGAGTTCACCTCAGTTCCAGCAGCACAGTGTTGGAGCACACCATGGTGCGTGCAACTGAGCTAATAGCAGGGGTGACTCAAGGAACAGCCTCCCAAAGCACAGAAAATAATTGTGTGCTGGGAAAGCAGAATCTGGTAATTGGATGCCAGCATTCATTTATATTATAATGTGTGTGCTCCTGCTGCAGAGTCAGGGTGCATGAAGGCCATGGTTTACACCTGCACTCCCTGTGTGTTTTGCTGTAAGATGTGCTGGGGCTCAGGAGCAGGTATCTTGGGGGTGCCCTGTGCTGTGTGAGGGACAGATGTGTGAGGACCGGTGGCCTGTAGGGGCCCCTTCCAGCCCAGGTTCTGCTCTGACTGGGTGTGAGCCAGCTGCAGCCACGTGTGGCTGCCCTGGATGACACAATGTCCTTGTTGTGCAGATGTGGAAAGCAGTTGTGGGACACAATGTGTCAGTGAAAGTGGAGGCTCAGGGAGACGACTGGGACACGGACCCTGATTTCGTGGTGAGTGTCTGCTGTGGAAACTCTCATACTGATGGTGTGAAGAGCTCCGGGCCCTGAGCTCTTGCTGCTGGGGCAGGGCTCAGGGCTCGGCAGGGCTGCAGCAGTGCTGGCAGGGCAGGATCAACCGAGTGCCATCAGCCCCTCAGAGGCACTGTCAGGTCACTTGTCTGAGCCACTTCTGACACATCTCCACGTTTGGTCTCCAGAACTTCCTACATCATTGCATACCCCATGTCTGACCACAAGTAATGGCAATTAAGGAGTACAGAATATGCAGGCAGGTTTCATAAACCTGCTCATTTAAGAAACTCCCTTGTTACAAGGGTAACTTTTTACATATGTAACATATGTACAACAAATTTTCTCTGTCCCATACTGTTTGTAACTGTACATGATGCAGGATTTCCCTAATTTATCTTTTTTCCAGATAAAAAATCCTACTCTGTTTACAGTCAACTTGTGCAGGTGCAGCTCTGTGCCTCTTACACTCTTGTTTTCTATCTAGTTCAACTCTGAGTTGAGCTGGTGAGAGAGCAGAACGGTTCTGCCTGTGGAACCCTCTGCATTCAACAGGGTCATAATTTTCACTTTCCATTTGGTTCCCTATTACTTTCCTCATAAGCCTCTCCTGTCGGACAAGAGTCCTGTGCTTGTGAAGTGCAGTCTTGACTAATTATTTCCAGTAAGAAATTCTAGTTTGGGGCAGAAAATCAAATTCCTTTTGCAGGGTTTCAAGTTATTAATGTTTTAGGGAAAATCTATACTGCCAAATTTTTTTGCTCACTTTATTTCTTCTTTTTGTGGAAGCATTCAAACTAAGCATGAACACAATAAGACTTTGTATTAACTTTTTCATTCTATTTCATATATACATATTTTCAGCTTTATTGTATACATTATTGATGCTTCACTTTATTGAATATATGTTCAGAGCTTCCACAAAGCTACAACACAAGGCTGTGATGGCCAGGCCCGAGGGCTGAGGTCACTGCGGTTTCTCGAGTGTTTTCCCTAACAGCGAATTCTGCACATGCCGGGTGTCACCGCGGTTCTGCGGGGTGGGTCGGAGACACCCGGCGGGGATGGGGCGCGGAACCCCTGGGCCGTGCCTGGTCCGACGGAGCGCGGCGAGCCGCGTGCGGGCCAGGGCTGACAGCCGCGCTTCGTCCGCAGAACGACATCTCCGAGCGGGAGCAGCGCTGGGGAGCAAAAACCATCGAGGGCTCCGGCCATGCCGGGCACATCGAGTGAGTGCGGCGGGACCGGGACCGGGACCGGGACCGGGGCCGGGGCGTGGGGGAGCGGCCGTGCCGGGGACAGAACGGGTCGTGCCCCGGACAGAACGGGTCGTGCCCCGGACAGAACGGGACATGCCCCGGACAGAACGGGACATGCCCCGGACAGAACGGGCCGTGCCGGACCGGGCCCTGCCCGCGGCGGAGAGCGCGGCGGTACCGGGGGCACAGCCGGGCCGCTCCGCGCCAGGCCAGGAGCCTCCGCAGTCCCCGTTCAGCGGCTCCTGGCCGGGGTGGGGGATCGGGGGCCGAACACCTGAGCACGGAGCTGTCCCGGTGCAAAGGCTGCCAGCTCCTTCCCTGCCCGGGGCCGACCCTCGGACGGCCCAGCGCAGCTCCAGGAAAAAGGGAGGTGTGAGGTCCCGAGAAAGTTGGGGTGTAGCCCTGAAGAGGGCTGCCAGAGAGGGGCTGGATGTCCCCCTGAGCCCACTGGTCCCCTGCCAGACCCCCGGTGCTCTCAGGCACAGTGGCTGCGGGTGTGGCTGGCACCCAGGGGAGCCCAGCACTTGGTCCTGCCTGTACGTCCTGCTGGGCTGTGGCTGCTGCAGGGCACAGCTGCATGGCTCTGCAAAATACCAACCCACCTGCTGTGTGTCTGTCTCCAGCATCCATCAGCTGAGGAACAAGGTATCAGAGGAACATGAGGTCATCAAGAAGAAGGAGCTGGAGACTGGCCCCAAGGCATCCTATGGCTATGGGGGCAAATTTGGAACAGAACGAGACCGAATGGATAAGGTAACAGCTGTGGGAGGCTTCCCTGAGCCTCAGTGGAAAAGTGCTTTTCTCATAAAGGAGTGGGTATCTCTGTTTTCTGGCCTGACCCTGAAGGGAGAGTATGGAGAGTTTGCATGGCTGCACAGATTCACACATATCCAGCTAGCACATACTCTGTCTCCAGGATCTGTTTGAATTCATTTGTGTAACTCTTCTCTACAACTTCTTTGCAATGCTCCCTTTAGCTGTGAAAGACTTTCTGGAGCTGTTCAAGCCTGCTGCGTAACAATTAAATCTGGTGACTCCTTACTTGTGCTTGCAGAGCTAATGTGTAGTAATTCCCTCCTCATATTCTGCATTACAGAGCTCGTGTCTTCCTGAGATAAAGCCCTAGACATCAGATCTGGTCTATGTTTTGTGATAATCATTATCACGCTTCTTCCTGCACCTTTCAGCATTTAATGCTTCTTTCTCAGAAGTGAGATGATTAGATTGAAGTAGAGTTCCATAGATGTGGTCACTGTGGGATTGAACAATACCAGGATGGCAGGGTGAGAAAGACTGTTCTCAGAAATTCCCTGCTCTCCTTGCCAGAATTGTTGTAGTCAGGAGCTGCACACACTCTTCAGCAGAAGGGGCAGAAGCTGAACACTTGTAGCATCCTGCTGAAACTAGACAAAGGCTAAGAAGTTGCTCAACAAAAGCACCCTCACTGTAGTACAGCAGAGTCTGAGCACAGCTGAGCACAGCTGTTCCATTTTGGCATAGAGTGTCTGTAGTTCCTGGCCAGAGCACCTGCAGCAGGGGGAGCAGGTTCCTGGCCTGGCCTGTGGCCAGGTTTGCTGGCCCTCGCTGTCAGATACAGAAGGGGGAAACGGGTGCCAGAGCTCTGCCTGGAGTTCTCGGCTGTGTGTGCCTGTCTGCACTTTCTCTTGTCTGCCCTGTGATTATCCACCATGCAACTCCCCCAGCGCTTGAGAGCAGCTGGCATTCAGCATCGCACACTTTGCTGAATGAGCTGGCAGAGGGGATGTTTGTGAGATGGCAGCCCTCGAGGCTCTTTCCGGGCCTCTGAGCAGAGCTGCTGCTGGCAAAGGCCACGTGGAGAGCCTGGGCACCATCGGCACAGCCAGCTTGGACCTGTTACCTGTGGCTACGAGTGTGTCAGCAGCGTTTGGGAGCAGCTGGTGCCTCTGCCTGTCCACCATGGATGCTCATGTCACACTTCTCTCCTCTTAGTGCGCGGTAGGGCACGAGTACGTTGCTGATGTTGGGAAGCACTCCTCGCAGACAGATGCAGCCCAGGGGTTTGGTGGCAAGTTTGGAGTCCAGCGGGACCGAGCTGACAAGGTGTGTTGGGCAGTGCAGCTGAAATCCGTACCTGTGGCCTGTGCTGCCCCTGGAGTGTGCCACATGCTAGCCTGGGGCTGTTGTCAAAGCTCAGGGCATGCAGGGTGTGCCCTGTGCCCTGGTCTCATTGAAGCATAGCTCAGCTGTGTGCAGGGCAGTGGTCCCACAGTGTAGGGCAGCCGTGGGGCAGCTGGTGTGCGTTGGTGTGCTGGGCTTGTCCCACCCAGGAAGAACACTTTCTCCAGGGGCTGTGGTATTTGCCCCTGCGTGCTGCAGCACTAGACAGGGAGCCAGTGACAGCCTGGCCCCAGGGGAGGGAGGCTGAGACCCATCTTGGCCCTCAGGATGATTGACAGTCTTCCCCTTCTTGTTCCAGTCAGCACTGGGCTTTGAATACAAGGGTGAGGTGGAGAAACACTCGTCCCAGAAAGGCAAGTCCTTGGGCATATGTGGCCCCTTGACCCTTTGCCCAGCTTCTCTTCTGCTCCCAGTATCCCATGCTGTTGGCTGTGGCACAGTCTCCCGTCTCTTGTTTCAGATTCCTGTTCCCAGTCCATCTCCCTTGTGGTCCCGTGTGCCACTGACCTGTCACCACCCTCATCCTGCACCTCCTGCTTGTCTCTGTGCTTTCCTTTGGTGGAGAGCCCATCCTGGCCAAGCAGAGGAGACAATCCACCTCACAATGGATGGCTGGTGCTCCCTCTCCTCTCAAAGCCCTTCCTAGAACTGCTCCAGAGGAAGCCTGAGCACTTTAGCACTTGAGAAGTGATTGCTGGAAAAGCAGCCCTGTAAGGAAAAGGCACAGCAATGGATATGAAAGCATCCAAATTCTGCAGATAATTCAACAAGCAGTACAAGAATTGAAACTCAGGGTATTTTAAATATTCTCTGCCCAAGAGAAGATGAAAAGGCATGGTCTGTTTCTGTTTCAAATAAATGTGTGGAACACTGCATTACCAGTGAAAGAACTGAATCAGGTTCATTTAAAAACAAATTATAAAAGAAGGAAAATTGTTTGAGGCCTTCTTGGCTGATCTTAAAATAATGAATGATGTGCAGTTGTGCTCCATTAACATATTCTTGTAGACATAGGAATTTATCAGGCTGTGTGAAACCACAGAAATTTCTTAGGAAATGGAAATGTCAGAAATAGAGTGTTTGGATTGCTTTTCATAAAAATGTGTCCATAGTGGAAGCTCCAGCACCAAGGTAACAGTCATAAAATCTGTGTTTACTGAAAACAGCTCTCTTAAAGATCCATTTCATAACAGGCCCATAGGTGGATAATAGTTTAGTCACAATAAGTTTAAGAATTTTTAGGACTTACAGATTAAGTGACTGAGTTTCTATGAAACAGAGATCCATTCTGGAATACAGAATGTTCTTATGCACATTTCTCTAGATCACAGCCTCCATGGATTGGTGCAGCTGAAGTTGCTGGAGAAGCCTCAGCTCAGTCCCTTGAAATGCAGACCTGTGAGAATAGCATGAGGGAACAGGGAGAGGTGGCTCCAATTTACTCCTGGAGGGCAGGATTTAGGGACTGAACAGGCAGGTGTCTGAAAGGAGGAGTTTGTACAGCCAGGAGTTAGGATAGAGGCTGAAATGTCTCAGGAATCAGCCAGTAATAACCAGGTGGTCCTGTGAAACAGCAGAACATGGTAGAAGTTTTTAATGGATCGCTGTTTTGGGGATGGAAAAAGGAGAGGCACAAGACAACTGTTCTTTGCTCTTGCACAATGGCCACTGTGCCAGGGAGCAGAGTGGGAGCAAGTCTGCAGAAAAGGGGTGTTCAGCCTTGGTGGCAGTCCCCAGGGACACACCTGAGATTCCACTATGGCACACATAAGCCCTTTTGCCATTCCTGTACTCCCAAGGCTGTGTCTTACTCACAGCCCTTTCCCCGAGGCTGGCAGACCACAGGCTGAAATCCTGGCTCTGGAGGTGGGTGAGGGACTGATGCCCCAGCTGTCAGCGCCCAAGTCCTGCTTGGCTTTGCCTTCATGGGTGACAGCTCCCACTATCCTTGGCATGTCTGTTTTCTTCTTTCCTCCTGGCCTGCTGTGTCTCCTGGTGCCCTGACCCGGTTTGCCTTGTGCCCCCCATTCCTGTGGGCTCTCATCCGTGGTGTTCCCTACCATCCACTCTGTCCCCTCCAACCCTTCACTTTCTGTGGTGTTTTCCATCATCTCTGCTGCTGTCCCTTCTCCCTGGGGGCCCTCCCCAGCCCTGCTCCCTATCCTCTCCTCACCAGCCCCATGCTGGGGGCGGCATTTGACTCCATGCTCCACATCAGATTACTCCAAGGGCTTTGGTGGCCGTTACGGAGTGGAAAGGGATAAGGTGGACAAAGCAGCTGTGGGATTTGACTACAAGAGCCAGGCAGAGAAGCACGACTCTCAGAAAGGTGAGCCCCAGCAGCCAGGTGAGCTGGGGAAAACTGAGGGATCTGGGTGAGCTGGAGGGGATGGGGGAGCTGGGGGAGGCAGCTGGGGAGGGGGAGCGGGCAGTGCCAGGGCTGGAACTGGGGACTGTGCCCACTAGGACTATGGGCACTGTGCAGGGCATTTTTAATCTGCTGCAAGAATGGTGGAAGAGCTACAGGGAGCTGTTGGGAAGGGCCAGGTGAGGAAAGCCATTGCACAGTGCATGGCTGCTAAAAAGAGTTCAGGCTAAAGGAAGAGGAGCAGAAGAGTTCTGTGGGCATAGGGATCTCTTGGACAGCATATCACCAAAGGAAGGGTGAAGGGGAAGCTCAGGCAGGTGCTAATAGCAGGTGAAATATCCCAGGAAGGAGGGAGGACTGTTGCTGCAACACCAGTGGGGAAATCTGGCCTTGTTCCATGTCTTTCTCTAAGTCCCAGGCATGGAAAACCTGTGAGAACAGCCAGAGCTCACACTGCTGCCACTTGTCTCCTTCCCTCCCTTTGTGTGTTCTCTTCCATGCCCTGATCTGGATCCTTGTGGATGAAGACTATTCTGTGGGCTTTGGTGGGAAGTTTGGGGTCCAGAGGGATCGTCAGGACAAGAATGCCCTTGGCTGGGACCATCAGGAAGAAGTGCAGCCCCATGCATCCCAGAGAGGTCGGGCAATATTGCCAGAGGTGGTAGCAGTTTCCTTGGAGCAGACACAGACCTGTGTCTGGAGCTTGTGGTTCGTAGTAAGAGATCCAGCTGCTAGAAACAGAATGTGTCTGGCGCGTTGCAGAACAGCTGAGACACAGTGAACCCCAAAGCACAAAGGCAGAGTGGGTGGGAGCTTGGATCAGTGGGGGACACGCAGTGTGGGTCCCTCAGTCAGGACTCTCAGACTCTCCCATTCTCCGTGAGGGACGTTCGTAACCATGAGCTCATTGTAGCCTCCCTGCCCTGATTCCGCCCAGATTTGCTCTTTGCACACACGAGACGCACTCTGAAGTCACGAGCTCTCAGAGAGGAATGAGGCAGAGCAGATCCCAGGAGTGCCTTGTGTGCAGCATGTTTGACCTCCCTGAACAGGGCCGTGCTCCACTCGGGTGGGGTGACTGGCCGCACCCTGGTGCCTTGGGCTCGGGCTGGCAGGTACAGCCCTGCACACCTGTGCCCTCAGCTGCAGGGAGGGAGGGAGGGATTAGTCCTAAAAGCTACTGTCCAGAGCACTTAACTTTATCTGTGACTCATCACATATGGAATTAACTAGAGATAACACATGCAAACTCATTTCACTGGTCACAGCATACTGAAGTCAGAGGTGCATACAAGATACTATAAAATATTTTTTTCCCATACAGACTATGCCAAGGGGTTTGGAGGCCGTTATGGGGTCCAGAAGGATAGAGTGGATAAGGTAAGACTGCTGCAGCCTGCAAGTTGCTTCCTCGTAATGACTGGGTTTTGCCCAGCTAAAAGAGAAGAGATTCCTCCAGTGGAGGTGGAATCCCAGTAGCCAGTGCACAACTATGGAAGGAACTGGCTGAGCGTAATTACCAGAGGGTGCAGAGGAATGCAGCCTGAGGAGACTGTAATGCAGGATTCCTCATGGTACCCTCTGTCACTCCTCACTTCTTTGCTGTTGTTACCCTCTGCAGGTTTCTCACTCCTATCAAGGAGTGCCTCACGGTCTTTTTGGGTGCTAAATCTTCCTGCACACCTTGACGAACTCCAGCAGGGATGGGATTGGCACAGATCAATCTGCTGTGCATGAGAAGAGGTCACCAAGTTACTGGTTCAGTTTTTCTGTTTGGGTTGATACCAGGCACAGCCTCATCTACAGTCACATCTCAGAGTGAGGCACTGAGATCAGTTCTGTGCTTGGCAGGCTGCCCTGAAGGCTTGGTCCCAGAGGGGGTCCTGCGAGTGGGTGTGATCTGCATGGATGTGATAGCCTCAAAGGTGCAGATTCTGGGGCTTTGGGGCATTTGGAAGAGGAGTGAGGGTGCCTTCCCTGAAACCTCCTTCCCTTGCTGGGGCACAGGGCTGTGCCTGGTACAGCACCAGCGTCACTGTCCTTGGGAGCTCGAGGAAGCAGGGGAGGCTGCAAACACACTGAAACCACCCACATGGTCCTGGCTGTGCTGCGTGGGGAGGCTGGGCCTGCAGCAGAGAGGGAATGTTGTCCTGCCTTCAGAAGAGATTAGAGCTAGCTCTGAATTTAACAACAGCAAATGGAGGTGCACTGACAAAGGGCACACCTTATATGTGGTCAAAAACAACATGCAAAAGCAGATGAGGACTGGGTAAAAGGGTTGGGGGTCTTTTGGGAGGCAGGATGCAGAGAGGCGATAAGCAGTTCTTGTTCAACTCAAAGTGAATGTGAGTTTGTGCATTTTAAGAATACTGAAGCATAAACAAACATGGTAAAAATAAGGATTATTTGGGCAAGTAACTAAGTTTCAGATTGCCTGGTCCTCAGGAATGGAGAAATGCTGAATTCACTGCACCAGAGCAGAGCATAACAGACCCTCAGGCAGCCTGAACTCCCCTTTTGTAAAGTTCTGGATGCTCAGTATCAGACTAAGGCTCGCACAAAATAAAAATGCCGTCATACGCACAGCATATCCAGGCTTCTGCTGTTACCTATGGACACCTGGTTCTGAGCCTGCAGGCTGGTTTACCTGCTCAGGTGTGTTTTCTGCAGGGAGAGCAGAGCTGCTGTTGGGCTCCATGGCTGCAGTTAGCCATCAGCCTGTTGTGACACCTGCAGGCAGCAACTGCTGTAGTGTCAGGCTGAGAAGTGGGTCCTACCTGCTCGTTCCTTTTTGCATGAAACAGTTTTCTTATGAAAGCAGATAAACCTTTAAGCTGTCTTTATCTCACTTCGGTTTTCCTGCACCCTCCCCACCAATCCTATTCCCGGTTCAGCCTCTCTCCATCCCTCCTGAAGCCGGTGGTGCTGCAGACGTTGCACACAGGTGCTGCTTTCACCCTCATGCCAGGGTGAGTGCTGGGGTGGATGCAAGTGTCCCTGGGCCTGGGGAAGAGGCAGATGGCCAGGCATCCCCCCCCAGCTCCTTGCCATGGTACAGGGAGTGTCCCCAGCCCTGCTGTCCTGTGTCACTACTCAGTCTTCCCCGCTGGGCTCCACAGCACCTTTGGAGCTCTCAGTGCCATCTCTTGGGCAGGGACACGTGTGTCCTTGGCTGGGGGACAACAGGCACATCCCCAGGATAAGGAGGTGTCAGCCAACAGCCTCCCCTGGGCCAGGGCAGGTGTGCAGGTGAGGACAAACACACCTGGGAGCAAAGCTTGCCATCACCAGTACCAAAAGGCAGCACTGGCATTGCCCAATGGGCTGAACAATTCTTTCACTTCCTCTTGCAGAGTGCTGCTGGCTTTGATGAGATGGCAGCTCCCACCTCCTCCTATGAGAAAACAAGACCCCTGGAGGCAGGTGAGACCTGAGTACCAGCCCTGGGCTTAGGAAGCTGTGGGTCTCACAGTCCCTCTGTGGCAGCCTGCTGGCAGGTGTGTGCTGTGGTGGGATAGGGGTTTAACCTGTGCTGGAGGGCAGAAGAAGTTGGCTGACTGCCAGCTTCTCTGGAAGAGACAGAGTTCTGGGTTTCTCCTGAATGCTTGGGGTGGTGGAAGGAAGATGTAGGGCTGGGTCCATCAGCTGTCTCCTCACAGGAGCCTCCAGTGGCACCAGCAGCCTGCGGTCACGGTTTGAGCACTTGGCCAAGTCGGCAGAGGAGGAGAGCAGGAGGCAGGCAGAGGAGGAGCGGGTCAGGCGGCAAGCCCGGGAGCAGCACCTGGCTCGGCAGCAGGTGAGCCAGGGCTGTCTTGCCATGTCCTCCAAGACTCGGGATAGACTTTTCTTCAGAGCTTTGCAGCTCTTGTCCTTCTGTCTGGTCTCTTGAGGGGAACCTCCTGCCTAAACTGCTTCCCTGTATCTGGCAAGAATGGCCACAGAATGGCTTCACAGTCATCACCGGACTTTCCTTTTCAGCACACCAAACACTCATACAAGGACACACCTGCACTCAGCCTGTGCTCTGGCCTCAGCTTCTTTAGTTTCTGGTGCCTGGAAAACCGTGTGGCCACTGCTCCCATCACTGCTATCCCAGCAAACTGGAGATGGCCCCCATCCCCTGTGTTCACCTGCCTTCCCCTGGTACTGTTCCTGCACTCAGAGGACAGAGGGGTGTTAACAGTGCAGCTGTCCCCCCAACATTGTTCCTCTTTGAGGCTACCTGACTGTTGTCACCAACCTGCGAGTGCCCAGGCCTGCAGCAGGTTTGTAGGTGGAGGAGACCTTTCGGAGTTGCTCTGTTGGGAATGTGAGCAGCCATTGTTCAAAGGGACTGAGCAGTCTTTTCTCCAGCAGGAAATCCCTCCCAGAGAGAAGGAGCACACTGGGACTGGGGCAGCCCCTCCAGCCGTGCCGGCAGGGGTACCCAAGGCTGCTGCTGGGGACCAGCACGTGTCACCAGCAGAAAAGGTACCAAGGCAGCCTGGGGGAGCTGGGGAAGGGGGAGCAGGCAGAGGGGATTGCACCTGAGAGGAGCTGTGCTCTATGCGCAGCCCTACAGGAAGATGTGGAGCACAGCCACAGGGTGGTGGGAAAGGCTTTGGAAGGATAAGGGGGAGCACTAGGCTTGGGATGGACCATGGCCGCATAGCACCTGACCCCATGGGATGAGCTCTGGGAGTGGGTCAGTGCAGTGGCACTACTATGGGCTGTGCTGAAGTATGAACAGAGTTCAGACACGTGAGTCCTGAGGGTCTCCAGGGCAATCCGAGCTGCTGGTTCAGCGGCATGAGCAGCTGTTAGCTGTTTCCCTGGTGTGCAGGGGATGGTGTTCCATTTGTGCCCTGGCAGCAGTAAAGGGGCTGCCTTGTGCCAGGTGCTGGGAGTCAAGGGAGAGCTGCCTGTGGTGGGTGCCTTGCAGGTGACTTTCCAGTCACTTTCCCACCTCATGGCAGGAGGCCAAAAGGGAGGATGAAGAAGTACCACCCACTTTGCCACCAAGGCCAGCAGATCTGGATGCAGAGCTGTGCAAGGTCCCCAGCCAGGGTCAGCCCATCTACAATGTAAGTTTGGATGTTGGTGGAGACTATGAGGAGCTGCCAGAGCCCTCAGACTACTGTGACAGCACCAGTGGAGGTGCTGACTATGAGGAGCTGCCAGCCCCGCTGGAAAAGCTGGATGCCACCTATGACTTTGGAGGAGATGGAGGTGAAGACTATGAGGTGATCCTTCCTCAGGAGCCCAGACAGAGCCATCCCCACCTGGGTGAGTACTGATGGAAGAGCCCATGTCTTGAGAAGCTTGTACCTGTCCACTAACTTCACTGGATGTGAGGGACAAACTGCAGAGGGAATTTTTATCCTGAAGTCTGTTGTGCTCAGGATACCAGCTTCTGGTGATGGAGACTTGGTAGTGTCCCAGTCTCCTGCCCAGCTCTAAGGTGCAGATGTGCTGCATGGGATGCTGGACTGGAAGCAGGAATCTGGTGGATCAGGGTCTGGGCAGGAGGCTGCCACAGGCCTGGGAGAAGCTGGATGTGCACCAATGCTCTTGCTGTGGTTTCCTGGCAAGTGCTGTCCTGGTGCCTGGGGGTGCCTCTGGTTCAGCCCATTCCTCATATGGCTGGTGGTGCTGGGACCTGCTCTGGTGGAGTCTCTGGTGTGAGGAGTGTAGGTAGCCTTTGTCCAAGCACAAGAGCAAACTGCATGTGCTGCTGTCGGTGCTTCCCTGGCATTGCTGGCAAGTGAAGAGGTTGGAGTTATTCCCAGCCTTTTTCTTGGGAGAGGAGCATGAAAGATCAGGACCCAGCTGTCTCCTTGAGGGAAGGGAAGGAAGTCACTTCTTGCTTTGGGCTGTGGTTCACCTCTCCTTGCTGACAGGGTTGATGTGCTTCCCCAGAGCTGGGCTGGAAGGTGGCACTGACCAGGACTGTGTGGGTGCTTCAGCCTCTGTCTCATCTGTGTGTACTGTGTCCTGCAGGGAACACAGACAGTGCTGCTGAGGGGCAGAGCCCCGGGATCTGCGCAGTGGCTCTCTATGATTACCAAGGAGGTGGGTCTGCCCTCAGGGCTGGGGGAAGGTGCTGTGCCCCACAGGCCTGTGCCACGGGACATGGGGGTTCACCAGCAGGGAAAGGACTTGTGGTTTAAATTGCTTCCTCCTGGGAAGTAGAATGAGATCTGACATGGGAATGTCATGGTGTAGGAATGGTATTCTCCAGTTTAGTACTCCCAGTAAAAAAAAAATATGCATCATTTCTCTTCTCCAATTGGAGGCACAAAAAGGCAAAGATCACAGGTTGAGATAACAGCAATTTTGGAAACAGCAATAAGAAAGCAAACAGTCACAGCAACAATGTTAATAACAAAATATATAAGAAAAGAAATTATTCTCATGGAAAAACACCCACCTATAGACAATACTGGATGGCTCCCTCCACCACATTTTCTCAACCCAGTCTTCCTGGGAATCGAGAGTCCCTTTCCCCCACCGTGGCAATGACAAGAGGTGGTACAGAGTAACCTTGGTGTCTTGGCCATGGCCCCTCCCAGCTACTGCAAAAAATTAGCCTTGTCCTGACCCAAAGCAGGACAGGAGCAGAGAAACTTCATCTTTCATCTGTGACATCTTGCTCTTTCTCTGCTTTATCTGTGCTGTAGGATGGAGGTTGGGTGAGGTAAACTCTTGAGGTTATCAGAGCACTTGCTCTGTCTCCTGCCTGGGGGAAGGTGGGAGGAAGAATGTGAACCAGCTCTCTCTGGGGTTCTTTTTGTATTGTGACTGTCTTTTCTTGACAATTTTTGCAGATGGAGATGATGAGATTTCTTTTGATCCTGATGACACAATCACACACATTGAGATGGTGGATGAAGGCTGGTGGCGGGGACAGTGCCATGGCAGAGTCGGCCTCTTCCCAGCAAATTATGTGAAGCTTCTGCAGTGAGATGAGCACAGTGCAAGCTGCTTCCTCCCAACTTTTGCCTCTGGCGTGGTTTAACATTGGCCAAATGCCAGACACCCACAAAAGTCACTCATTCACCATTCTCTACCACAGCTTGGCAGAGGAGAGAAAAATTTAATGAAGGTTTTATGACCTGAGATGAGGACAGGGAGAAAACACTCCAAGGGCAAAATAGGTTTGACTTAGAGGTACAAAGTGAATTCATTACTAACAGAGTCAGAGGAGAATAATGAGAAATAAAATAAGCCCTTAAAACACCTTTTTTCCCCCCAACTCCTCCCTCCTTCCCACCAACAGTGCATGGGAGTTTTGGTCATTTCATCACTGAGATTTTCTTCCACTGCTCTGGGAGAGCAGTCTTTTCCCTGTGAGACCGTGAGGTCCCTCCCATGGGAGAAGTTCTCTGAACTTCTCTGACAGAGGTCCACTCTCATGAGCAGCAGTCCTCCCAAAACTGCTGCAGCGTGGGTCACGGTTCCACGGGGTGCAGTCCTCCAAGGCCAGGCTGCTCCAGCCTGGGAGCAGGGCTCTCTCTCCACAGGGTCTCCCACTGGATCACAGCCTCCTCCAGGCATCCACTGCTCTGGCATGGGCGCCTCCCCATGGATTGTGGGCGGATCTCTGCATCCCCCGTGGATCCCCGTGGGCTGCAGGGGCACAGCTGCTTCACCATGGTCTCACCACGGCTGCAGAGCAATCTCAGCCCTGGAGCAGCTGGGCCAATCTGGGCCCTGGAGCAGCTCCTGCCCCTCCTTCCCCACTGACCTTGGTGTCTCCAGGTTGTCCCCTTCACATGTTCTCACCTTCTCCTCTTCTCTGGCTGGAATTGAAATTGCTCTTGACTTTGTTTTGACTTCCTTCTTAAATCACAGAGGTGTTACCATCATCTCTCATTAGCCAGCCTTGGCCAGCAGCACGTCCATTGTCAGAGCCACCAGAGATTGGCTCTGCTGGACATGATGGAAGCTTCCAGCAGCTTCTCACAGAAGCCCCCTCTGTGCCCCCCTGCTACCAAAAAACAGGCCATGCAAGACCAACACATTCCACCTCATGCCTCTGTGAATCACAAATTTAAGAAGAAAATCAAAACAAAGTGGGCATAGTTTGTTTGTTTTTTTCCTAGCCGGAGAAGTGGGGGATGTGAGAACATGTGAAGGAGACAACCTGGAGACAGCAAGGTCAGTGGGGAAGGAAGGGCAGGAGGTGCTCCAGGTGCCAGACCTGAGACTCCTCTGCAGGCTGTAATGAGACCATGGTGTGAAGTGTTTTCTCACAGTCCTTATCTCAACTCATGAACCCTTAATTTAATTTTTTCCCCTCCTCTGTGGCAGGGGAGGGTGAGTGAGTGACTTTTGTTGGTGCCTGGCATTTGGCCAGTGTCAAATCATGGCAGACTGTCTCTGCTTCAGCCTTTCCTGTGTTATCAGCTTCATTCGGCTCAGCTTGGTATATCCACATTCAGAGAAATATCAAGGAGCAAACTGGAAGTGCCAGAGGGAATGTTTTGTCTTATGCCCAAGAGGATTTTGATTCCCATCCACTTCCAGGTGGGAAAGTTGGGATGGTGTAAGAGCGTATGAGTGCAATGCAAGGTCTCTTCTATCTAGGCTGCCCCACCTGTCAGCCAGCAAGTTTGCAGGAGTGTGTCCTGTTCCCAGTAGGGCAATTCCCAGAGCAGAAATACCAAATCTAGTCCAGGCAAGGCAGAAGGGATATGAGCTGTGGGACCTTTGTCAGTTGCTGTGGCCCTGGATCTCATCCTAGTCAGGGGTTAAGGAAAAGAGTGCTGGGAACACCAAACTGGTGTTTATTCCAAGGAAGGGTTTCCATTTTTAGGATGAGCCATGTTTGCAGCATGGACCAGAGAAACATGAACGTGGTCTGTATGACCCTTGTGGGCACAGGTGTGTCTGTCCCCGGGGCTGTGCCCTCCCTCCCAGCTTCTGCTCTGGCTTGGCTCAAACTGAGTCCAGTGATTCTGTGACAGCTCATGTCCCCTGTGCCTGCTGGAGGCTCCTGAAGAGCTTGACTCTCCATCACAGATGTGAGCAAAAGTCTGGGCAGGTGGGAAGCAGGACAGGAGGAAACATGTTATTGCTAATGTTTAAAACAGTTTTCAGAAATGCAAAATAAAGCCCTCTCTCAAGCCAGTACCTTTTAGGTGGATGTTCAGCTGTGGGAATTGTTCCTCTGTGGGATGCAGGTACCATCACAGCAGGAATAAACCAGGGACATCTGAGCATCTGAGTAGAACATCACCTGAGGGGCTGTGGGAGCACATCTGAGGGACTGAGGGGCTGTGGGAGCACACCTGAAGGGCTGCAGGAACACCTGAGGGGCTGTGGGAGCACACCCCAGTTGCTGCCACTGCCAGCAGTGTGTGCAGGGGGTCCCGGTGTGACACTAAAGCTTTAGTGTTCAGTGTGGTTCACAGGTGAGTTCTGGAGCACTCTGCAGCTGACCAGGCCTGTACTGCCTGGGCAGGAGTGTGGCACTCCTGCTCAGCGTTTGATCCTGGGAACACCCAATGACTGTCTGTCACAGGAAAAGTGCATTGAGGTTCAGGTTAAAAATTATCAATTTTAATGTAATCTTTCCAGGAGTTTCTTGTTTGGGTTTCTGTTGGTTGGCTTTGGGGTTTTTGTTTGGAGTGATTTGGGTCTTTTGTTTCTCTGAGGCAGCTTCCCCAGTCTTTTTCCTTGTGTGGTTTCTGCTGTTTTCTGCTGTCCCCTTCCAGGGGCTCCTCAGAAAGTGTTCCCTGGTCAGACTCTGATGTGTCCAGTGACACTGGACTGAGGGTGCTTCAAGGGATTTTTAGAATCCAGAGGGGTGTATAGCAAGGAGAGCTGGGGGCTCACAGCCTATCTGGATAGGAGCAACAGCCCAACCCAACAGGCGGGTTACAGAAACATTTCTTTCCCTGAAGAGTAAAATCAGCATGTGTTGTGCACTGAGAAATGGCAAACTGCTCCCAACAAGGCTGTGTGCCTCCTAGTCCCAGTTCTGACTCTGCACTGGGTTGCTTTGGGAACAGATTGGATACTGTTTGATATCTCTTGGTAACTGAGATACAGATGAGCATGTTTGGGTCCAGCTTACGTAGGTTGTGTGACTGCAGGTGTCACCTGCCTGTGTCATCTCCCTCGCCCCAGTGAGCCCCTGCTCCTGGCTCTGCTGCAGTGCTGGACGCTGCTGTGCCTCATGTGCACACCTGCAGATTTGGCCACTGCCGTCACAGCCACAGAATCATTTGAGCTTGGGCCCAGCTGAAGACCCCTAGCCAGTCCTCAGGCAGTCACCCAGAGCCACAGCACACACAACAGCTGCACAGGGAAATTTTTCTGGCCATAAAGCAAAGCATTTCTGGAGTTCAGTGCCACCAGCTCTCAGCTCAGTGCTGAGACCTCTGTGTCTCAGTGCAGCACTGAGGCCATGGGTGGCCTGTGCAAGCTGCTGTGCCTATGTACAGAGTGCTGCAGAGCCTCCCTGGCAGCCTGGGGAAACCCAGCAGACATCAGATTTGAAGCCAAGGTACGTGGGGACAGTGGGTGGTGGGACAGCCCCTCTTGCCCAGGTCAGGTTTTGCAGTCAAAGTCCCTTGTTCTGCACAGGCCTGACTCAAGGCCTGGGGCAGTCCTGAGGCAGAGCCTGTGGCTATGCTCAGGGCCAGCACGTGTCTGGCTCCACATGAATTTGCTTTTTGCAGAGTTCCCTGGCAGTAGTACAGCTGCAGCACGTCCTCTGCCAAGCTCAGCACGTGGCATCCAGAAAATAAAGACAGAATCCTGGACCTGTAACCTTGTTCCTGAGTTTATTTTGGCATTCTGCTCTCAGTGATGTGCCGTGGGTGAGATGAGTGGTGGCAGTGTGCCATGTGCTTGGGCTGGGGGCCCCAGGCTCGCTGTGCTGTCACAGACGTCCCACGGATGGACATTGCAGTGGCAGCACTGTGTCGGCAGCCTGTGGCAGCCCTGGCACTGCTCAGGCGTTGTTGCCTGGGGAGCCTGGTGTGGCACTCACCCGCACAGCCTTCCGCAGGGCCCCCCACACCTCCTGGTTGCGGAGGCTGTAGACGAGGGGGTTCAGCATGGGGATGATGATGCAGTACAACACAGAGACCAGCGTGTCAGCTGCCGGGGAGTAGCCCGAGCTGGGCCGGTTGTAGTTCAGGTTGGCTGCCACGAAGTACAGGGTGACCACGATCAGGTGTGCAGAGCAGGTGGAGAAGGCCTTGCGCCGGCTGGTGGCCAGCGGCATCCCAAGGACAGTGGCCAGGATGCAAAGGTAGGAGATGATGACGAGCAGGAAGGGACCGAGGCCCACAAAGATGCTGGAGACATGGAGGGCCAGCTCGTTGGGGCGGGTGTCGCCACAGGCGGCCCCCAGCAGCGGCGGCACATCGCAGAAGATGTGCTGGAGCTGGGCGGCCCCGCAGAAGGAGAGCCGGGCCACCAGGAGGGTGTGCAGGGCCGAGTCCAGCAGCCCCCAGAGCCAGCAGCCGGCAGCGGCGCTGGCACAGGTGCTGGGGCGCAGGGCCTGGCTGTAGCGCAGGGGCCGGCACACAGCGGCCAAGCGGTCGAAGGCCATGACGGCCAGCAGCGCACACTCAGCCCCCGCGCACCACATCAGCAGGAACGTCTGCGCCAGGCACCCCCTGTAGGAGATGGTCGCCTGCGAGCGCAGGGCGTTCGCCAGGATCTTGGACACCGTCACTGATGAGTAGCAAAGGTCCAGGCAGGACAGGTGACTCAGGAAGAAGTACATGGGGCTGTGGAGGTGGGGATCCAGGGACACGAGGAAAAGTATTGCAGAGTTTCCCAGCAGCGTGGCCAGGTAAATGGCCAGGAAAAGAGCAAAGAGGAAAGGCCGGCCGTGGGAAAAGCCCAGGAGCACAAACTCTGTCACCTGTGTCTGGTTCGTACCTGCCATGGGGCAAGCTGGGGCAGGGTGTGGGCAGAAGTGAGCCCTGAGGAGGAAGGGGGACTGTGAGCTGGGGGAGAAGAGCACAGCCCCCCATGAGGCAAGGGGGTCCCTAGTGGTACGGCTCTGATCCCATCTCCCTGGTGGTTGGAACTTTCCTGGGTCCATACTTCACAGACGCTGGGATTTTGGAGTCCAAAGAGCTGCCGTTCCACGTTGGGTACCTGACTGCAGAAGAAGCACACAGAGAAACCCAGGAGCAGAGGGCATCCACCCACACCTCTTGGAGTTCTTTGTCTACCCAGCCCCTCCTATTCCAAGCATGTGTCTCTCCCCCTCCTGGATGTATTTACAGCAAGGAAATGTTTCCCTGCCCCTGGTCAGTCACAGCATTCCCTGGGTGCCACAGTCACTGAGCTTGCTCTTCCCCAGCCCTGGGCTGGGGACATGGCATCACCCTGTACCAGTTAATTTTTTCTTTTCTTTATCCTGTTTCCTGCTCTGTTATAACCAGCTGTCACAAACAAGGGTTCCACTTAAAAAAGTACAGGTTCCAACAAAGAGCAACTCATCACATGGGGTTTGTTGAGCCCCAGGAAAATTTAAGCCAGCAGGGATCTCCTGGCCTGGAATCCCTACCTTTTTTCCATCATCCTATTTCAATTTTCACCCTGACACAAGGGATTTGCTCACTGTCACAGGGAGGTGTGATCACCATGTCCAAGAGATGGAGGAGGCCTGAGGAAGCATTTCTGGTTCAGAACTTCAGCCAGGGACTGATGGGGGTGGCGTGTGCAGGGCACACATGGCCAGGGCTGCTGCTGCCCACCCTGCCCCCACCATGGACTCCATGGGAGGGGGGCAAGGTGCTTCAGTGGGCAAATGCAGTCAGGAAATAAAGAAAAGGAAGAAAGAAAGGGGAAAAAGGAAAAAAAAGGAAAAAAAGGAAAAAAAGGAAGGAAGGAAGGAAGGAAGGAAGGAAGGAAGGAAGGAAGGAAGGAAGGAAGGAAGGAAGGAAGGAAGGAAGGAAGGAAGGAAGGAAGGAAGGAAGGAAGGAAGGAAGGAAGGAAGGAAGGAAGGAAGGAAGGAAGGAAGGAAGGAAGGAAGGAAGGAAGGAAGGAAGGAAGGAAGGAAGGAAGGAAGGAAAAGAAGCATCCCCTTGCTCTTTATAAAAGTACTTTTAGCAACAGAAGTCAAATGTCATATCTGTTCAGGACATTAACAAATCTGATTTGATTTCAGGTTGGTTCCCTTGCTTTAGACCTATTAATCTGATTTTAATTTCCCTGCCCTAAGCCTGTATCTGTGTATCTGTCATGCATTTATAACCTTAAGTGCTGGAGAATTCACTGCTTCTGGTGGGAGTTTGTTTCTTATAGCTGCTTACCGCAGGAAACTGTCAAAGAACTGTTAAAATTATGCACTTTTGCCTGTTGGAATTGCTCCATTGTCAGTTCTGTCTCATTCATAACTTTCAGATCCTCCAGCTGAAGACTATCCTGTTCTGAGGGTATTTTCTCCCTGTGCACTGGAAGCAATACCAGGATTTGCTAAGCAGAAGCAAAATAAAGTTCTGAATAATTTCTCTTTCACATGCTAGTTTTTCAACATTAAAATGAAAAAAAAAAAAACAAACTTTGAGAGGAAAATGTTCAGTCAGAAGAGGAGTTCTTCCTAGCCTGGCACAGTGACATCCTAACTTGTCTCTTGTCACTCCATCCAGGATGTGCCAGGCTGGGAAACCTCTGTGTGGCTGAGCTCTCAAGTAGTTGCACAGATCAATATATTCTTTAACTACTTATTCTGCACACTTTGGGGTTTCTTAAATTACTAATTCTGCACATATTGGAGAGGGACACAAGGACTGTATCATCCAATGGTCTGGAAATCTCAGACTGTTGCTTTTCCTCCAGCTCCAGGCTGAACCAAGGACATTTTGATGAAGGAGTAGCCCAGCCTGCCTGTCCTAGTGCTGCTGGGAGAGAGTGCTGGGGGTTGAACAGTGGGGGAGCCCATGGTGCTGCTCCCCAGGAAGTGCCTCCTGCCTCCACTGTCCCTACTGCAGTGCCACACAGCCTGCACACGGATCTGTGCTCACTGGAAATTCAGGTTGTGTGAGCTGCCACAGCACTCAGGCAGCTGGTTTGTCAGGGCACGGGTACCATGCAGTGTGGGGTGAGAGGGGAAGGCTCTGTCCAGGACCTGCCTGGATGCTGCTCCCACTGACCTGTTCATCAGAGGCAGGAGGAGGAGGAATAGGGACTTCAGGAACCAGAGTGATAAAAATGTGAATAAATTCAGTAGTAGGAGCTTGGAAATACAAGGGTTAGTCACCTGTTCATGCTCCAAGCTGGGGCTCAACGCCTGGAAAAAGAGCAGGTGAGCAAGAGGAAAGTAAGCCCACCACAGCAGGAAGTGAACCTTGAGCCCTGCAGCGACCCTGTGTGGCACAGCATGCAGGGAATGGTTAATGTCACTGCAGGAGGGACAGCAAGGGCTGGAGAGCTCATCTGGTGCCCTCCCCATGCTGACAAATCCAGCCTAGATTGGACATGCGGCTGCGGGGCTGTGGAGCAGCCACAGGAACGTGCAGAGGAATGACCCCGAGTTTCACCCTAGTGAGGAGCAGTAGCAGTCAGCAAACACAGCCACAGTTCAGAGATGCCAGATTTAATCCATTTGTCTTCAGACATCCTGCACACCAAGGAATAGGAAGATACGGGAGAAGAATCTCCCTGTTCCCCCTGGGCTGCGCAGGGATGAGCCTGGAAAGAGCCTCCACCTTGCTCGACCCTTTTCCTCCCTCTCTCACCTGCACTGAAGGGGATTTCTTGTGGTAACTACAGCCTGAGCAGGTGTTACCCTGTGCAGGTCCCAGAGCAGGTACACACACCTCTGCCCGGGTAGACAAGGCCAGAAAGGCTGGATGGGGAGCAGAGAGGGAACACGAATGCCACCAGTGCCAGACAGGTTCCTGTCCTTCCCTCAGGACATGGGAGGGATCTTTGTGACAGTGACATATGAGCCAGCAGACCCAGCCATGCTGGTTCAGGAGCTCATATGTGCTCCGTACCCACGCAGGGAAGCTGCTCCTGCAGGAGGGTGTGTTCTCCTCACCAAGCCACTGCACCTGTACTCACTCAGGTGAGCAGAGCATGTAGCCTGGAGCATTCAGCCCTAGGAGGTGGGGTCCTGAGCCTTGGGCACAGCCATGGCCCAGTGCGAGGGCACGGCTGAATTGAGGGAGCAGATAACAACACAGGATTAATTTTTCTTGGAAAGGACTGGATGCCTCTATGGGAGGCAGCAGCAGCCACAGCCTGCCCAGAGCACCCAGAGCCCTGGGGGCCAGCACCAGGTTCCCCCAGAAGTGCATGACAGGTTCCTGGTGAAGCCTTGCCCTCTCACCCCTCCTCCCCTCCACAGCCAAGAGCAGAGACTGGATGGCACCTAGTCCTCAGTAAGCTGTCCCCAGGTGCTGCCCTATGTTCCATGTCCCAGCCATGCCCCAGGTACAGTACGTCTTACCTGCATGACAGGAGCCCGTGTGTCCTCAGAGATGTAAGCGCAGCAAAGGCTTTTAACCCTGCAGGGGCCCTGGGGAGAGGCTTTCAGAGGTGGCTCCTGCTCAGGGACAGGAGCGAGGAGCAGCACCCAGCAGCCTGCAGCAGTGGGATCTGAGCCCACGGGACCAAGCCCTTGTGACACAGCACACATGCTGACCTCCAGCCTTGCTCCAGGCTGTGCCAGGTGCTAACCAGTGCCGGAGTCTGCTCCAGCCTTGCAGCTCTTTGGCACCTGGGCACGGGAGGAGGCTGCTGGAGGGGCTGGGAGCTGCCGTTCCTGGGCACCAAGTCCTTCCTACAGCCCCATCTTACCTGTTGCAGGGCCGTGAGGTGCCTGCAGCTGCCACTGCCAGCAGAGAGGAGCAGTGATGGGGGCTGGCCTTTGGCCGAGCTGGCAGCACCACAGCTGTCGGGCACAGCAGGAGGTGGCTGCACGGCACCTGCACTCCCTGTGCTCTCACCACCCGTGCTAACCGTGCCCACTCAGCCCGAGGCACGGCTCTGTGGGGGAGATGTGTGGTCCAGAGGCCTGGGAGAGGACTTGGACAGGAGGGACAGAGCCCTGGCAGTGGCACTGGCTAGACACAGAAGGCACCAGGCAATGCCCAGCATTTGAAGGGCTCAGCAGTGAGATGGCTCCAGCTCAGGCTGGGTGAGCACTGCCTGCTTGGAGCCTGGAGCTATTCCTGATAGAAGTTTAGCTGGAGTTCACCATGTAGTGCCAGGAAAATGTAAAGTGGGACCCCCAGGAAACGAGGACTGCCATTGGGAATGAATCTGGAGGTCAAGAGAGCGCCGCAGTGTTTCTGCAGCAGGGAAGCACTATTGCTTCAGTGTCCTTGCAGCTTCTGCTCCTGATGGTGGGGCTGTAGGAGATGATCCAAGTATAAGCTCTGGATCTGGAATGTCAAGAGGTGAGAGGCTGAACACTAACATCTTCTGGAAAGTAGGGAACGTGTAGGCTACAACGCCAGATGGGGATGAACACGCTATGTGGAAATCCAGCACAGATACCAAAGGAGTGGCAGCCTCAGTGAGGGGAAATGCAGGTCAGAGGGTGTCTGGGGCTGAAAAAGATAAGCAGTGAGTATGAAACAAGAGCAGCTGTGTCTGTGTGTGTGTAGCTGTAGGTCTGTGTCCTGTGTGTACATGGAACGATGACTCTGCTCCGCCTTTCTCGAGCAGCTCTCAGGCAGGGGCAGGTGAGCTGGCAGGGTGGAGGAGCCACGGTAATGGGAATTTTCCACTCATTTGCTTTGAGTTTACAAAATTGCACCTTTTGCTTGTGGCAATGATGAGCATTTCCTTGTTTCACACAGAAATTAGGTGCCATGGCATTCCAATACAGACTGGCCACTCTACCAAGGTTTTAGAGAAGGCACATGCTGGCAGCACTTGGAGAAACCCCCTTCGACTTTGATATTTGAAAAGGGACTTTTCTGAGACCACCATTACTTGACACAGATATTAAAACACACTGAAATCTCCCTGGATTCCAGAAACTTCAGTTCTGGTAGTCCACATCTTCAGAACAGCCTTTAGGATAAGAAATATCATGTTTGTGTCCCACTCTGGTCTCCTGATGGTGACCAGAGAAGCAACTTGGGCAAGCTGGAACAGGAGACATCTTCACTGAGTCTCAGGGAGAAAACCTTGGAGCACTGGATAAAGGCCCTGAGAGGCCCTGGACTCTGACCTTGGAGATTCTCAACACTCTTCTGGCCACTGATGAGCACAATCCCAGCCCGAACCACCTCTGCTGCAAGGGCCTGCTCAAAGCGTGGCTTGGACCAGCAGTCCCTGCCCACCAGAACAAGTCTGACACTGGCATCAAACTCTCAACAGGTTTTCCAACAATAATGTTTCAGGGCTTTCTCTCAGTGATTTCCTCAAGAAAAGCACTTCCTTCAGGATTTTTCAAATTATTTTTAGCTAAATTGTCAAGGCCACTTGTTACTGGAACCAGACAAGGAATAAGAATAAGCTAAATTTGGCATTTCCACTTTGACCTATCCAAGACAGGACAACAGCCTCACCCCACATCTTATGGGAGAGGTCATAGATTCCTGCCAGTCTCCTCTCCCAACACTTGAAAAGGAGATTTTTGTCTGAAGAAAATCGTACTGTTTCAAGCTTTTGTCCAGTGTAATTTACACTTGTGTTTAAGAAGACTGGGCAAGAAGGGTTGCAGCTTTATGGTCTAACCATAAACTGGCCAAAGCTGGTCAGATTTACAAGTGTTTGTAGTGTGCTGATGTTTGCAGAGGCCCAAACATGTACTCACAAACACGAAGTGAGTGCCTCTTACCCTGGGGCATCGCCCTTGCCCAGGGGAGATCCAACACCTGCAGGGGCCTGGACATGGAAAGTGTGGTCACAGCACCA